TAGAAAAATAATAAACTACGTTAGAAATAAGCATGTAATTAGACCTAAGAAATTTGTGTAAAAACTGAATTTGGAAATAAAAATGAAATGAATCTACAACTTTGAAGGCACAACATAAATTGATGGATATAAGCTGAAGAAACAGAAGCGTTGATGCTTACAAATCTGTATTCAATTAGGATATTCAAGAATATTCTCACGGAATTTTTCCGCGCGGAGAAAAAGATTACCTTCGAGATGGAACATTTTTTATATTTAAGTATCTATCTATCGGAGCTAGAAATCCGTGAAAAAATTAGCGAAAATCATTAAAAACCGAATATATTCTTATTTCTCATGACTTAAGAAACTATTGTTTTTCATGCATGCCTTCGTTGTCAGCCATAAAGTATATAATCCTTCTATCTGCTTGCAATACTTTGAGAAATAAACAATAGTGGAGAAGTGGCAATGGGGAAATATAAGAAAATCGCAAGTGTTTGCCGGCTAAAATAAACAAAAATTCGTAACATACAAACTCACGTTCATACATCTTTGCAAATACCTTTGCATGCTATGCTTTTTGTTATTGCGCATGACACAAATAGCTAGGACGAAAAAAATATAAGAGACCGAGAATGAGAGAAATTATTATTGCCAAAGAGCATGACCAGTACACGACATACGTGAGGTTACTTTGACATTTTTAGCACAGTTATAAATGTAGTCGCGTAGGATAATTTTTTCTTTCAAATTGTAGAAAGACGTAGTTTTAGTTTTTAATACCTTCACCCATATGGCTACATATTTTGATTTGGTCCCAAAATGTGCCTCATGGAAGTAACAGTTTAAGACGAAATCCGTTTAAGAACATGTGAAGTCGATCTAGCAATGTTCTTCCATTCGTCTGGCTGGTGTCCACTATTACATGCGAAAGTAGTAGTCAATTTTGTCCTAACATTACAAATCGTAGTTTTTTAACTCTATCTGAGTTCGAAAATATACTTTGCAAAAATAATATACTTTACATGAATAAAGCATAGGGAGTAAAATTCGTAGTCCTCAATATTTTTCAATGTTTTTGAGAAGAGAACTGAGTCCACAATTTAGTGGAAAATTTGCATATAGTTGTTTTTGTATGAATATAGGTTCAGGTGTGTAAACATAACTACTAGAGTATCTAATTAATCGGGTCTAGGTTCGATTAAAAAATAATCGATTTTGGGATTTTGAACTTGTTCGATTAAGAGTCTTAAATTGTTCGAATAGTTTCTGTGTACCTTACGTGAAAAAAATAAGTTTAATATTGGAGTGAAAATTTATTTACAAAAAAAAAAACATTTAAATTACGTTAAAAACAAACATAAAATAATAGTTCAAATGAGTTCAACAACGTTTAATAAAAATAATTATAATAAATAATTAATTTTTATATAAAATGTTTCTAGTCAGATCTTTAAAATACCATTTTCAATTTTTTCAATTCAATTTTTTAAATATTTTGTTATAGACCCAGTTGTGACTTTAGCAGATGGTATTGGTTCTTAAATAAAATCAAAATCAGCCTCGGTATTACATTTGTTTAAAGAATTAGAATCATAGTTCGATTAATCGGTTTAAATTTATCGATTATTCATTATTCCAAATTTACTAATTTTTCTTAATCGAAAAAAAAGCTCCGATTAATCGATCAGATACTCTAATAACTACCGTTAACATTTTTAATAATTGTACTTGCTGTAAAACCAGTTTCAAAGTTTCAGTAACTTTGCTGTCACATACTTTATCTTTATTTGCATTACTGCGATGTGCAAGGTTTTGTCTATTATGGGACCTTAAGGCTTAAGTTTAATAGAGACATTACAATACATGAAAACTTTACTGCACTTTCTTTCCTATAAATTATATGTTTTATAATCTGGTACATTTAATAATTTTTTTTTGTCATTTGGAGAAAGGGTTCATTTATGTACCTGTAGTACAGAGTGATGTCAGGCAATGTCTTTCCTTTACTAATTTTATACCATCCACATTTTAAAGGGGGTACATTAAATTTGTCATTCCATATCCCATAAAGTATATATAAATTCCTGATCAGCATGAAATTCTATGTCGATTTAACGATGTCCGTCTGTCTGTCTGTTGAGCCCACATTATCCACGGATTTGTGTAAAAATGGGTATTTGCTCCGGTGGCAGAATATTGTATATGTAGGTTTAGGTTACCTCCTATCAACCTTTGGCTTTAAAGCAGTAACAATTTGGTTCCAGAAGAAATGAATATATGGGAGGCATATCCAATTCTGAATCTTGTATACCAAATAAAATTACTATAAAGTGCATGATATTATTTCGAGAAGGATTATATTAAAAAATATATATAACATATTTTCTCCGAATGCGATGTACTTGGTTCTAGTCTGAATTCGGTTGGATTGACCAAAATTCAGGACTTTTGGACCGATATTGGCCATTTGAAGCACAATTAACCCGAAATCGGTTGAAGATGTACGTAGAAACTATATCCAAATCTGAACCGATCTTGATAAAATTTGGCAGAGGTATTTCATGTGATTGACTTAACCACAAAATCGAATGAAACATATATATGAGAGCTATGTGGTATAGCTATATCTGAACCAATTTTTACCAAACTTAATCTAATCGCTTCTAGACTGAATTCGGATTTGGATGTGCCAGGTCATTTGGTGCATAATCATCCCGAAATCGGTTGAAGATATATGGGAGCAATATTTAAATCTGGTCCGATTATCACCGATTTCAATAGGGTTCGTCCTTGGGCCAAACAAATATCGTTTGCAAAATTTTATCTCAATCAGATAATAAATGCGACCCGCATTTTGTTCACAGGAATACATGGACGGACGTACTGACATGCATACATCGACTCAGAAAGTGATTCTTTGAAGATTCTCAAAAGTAACTTTGAGTCTATCTCGCTTCCTTCTCCATGTTTTAAACAAATGCACAAAGACCCAATACCATTACCACTATGTGGTATAGGGTATAAAAATGGTTTGGTTCAGCATGTTGTGCCTCCAAAATTATGAATTTGTGTCAAAACATAAACAACGCTTCATTATTTTTATTAGTTCCTTATAAGGTACAGTTAAAATCATATAATTAGATATATTTTTAATTTAAATATGTTGAAAAGTGCTTGGAGGCTATCCACAGCACACAAGCTCCTTTATAAAAATTCATTAAATTATTTTTATCAAGGAGCTTGTATGTATTTACACTTAACACTAAACCGAACCAAAACCCAGATTCCAACCCCAATTTCTAAAACTGAACAACGGTTCAAAAGTTTGTGCGAACCATTGAATCGAGCCAGCCCAAATGGACAAGTGGTTTGCAGTCCTGGTTGTAACTTTTTTAAAACCAGTCCACATTTTTATATAAGTCCCATAGAAAATTACTGTTATTAATATTCAAAATAAATTTGAACAACTACAAAAGTTGTAAGTTAGGCCGGGCCGAACATTGAATACCCTCCATCATTTGGTACAAAAAAAAGTTAAAATCTATACGACGACGTGGACCTGCATAGGCAACTTTTGTCATAAGCTACTATAATATTCAAATGCTTAACTTAAAAAATCTGTTTACAATGTAGCTAAAATAAATAAAATACCGAATATAGGGAGGTACAATACGTGGACCTGCACAGACAATTTTCTGGCATAATCTGTAGTATCCATTACGAACTTCAAATACAAAATTTGAAACAATTCAGGTAAATAATGTCGCTAAAATCATCCAAATACCAAATATCGGGGTACCGTTATTTGCGGGTTATACGAAGACGTGGACCCGCATGGCTCATTTTCTGTCTTAGGCTGTAGTATCAAATAGTATTAAAATATCGAATATCAGAGGGTACAGTTATATGGGGGCTATTCGAAGACGTGGACCTACATAGCCCATTTTCAATACCAATAGTCCTGCAGACGTAATACACATTTGAGTAAATTTTTATCAACTTGCTTCAATTCGTTCGGAAGCTAGAGTGATTTCCACAGACAGATAGACAGACAGACGGACGGACATTGATAAATCGACATAGAATTTTATGCTGATCAAGAATATATATGCTTTGTGGGGTCTAAAATGTATATTTCGAGGTGTTACAAACGGAATGACAAACTTAATATACCCTCCATAGGGTATAAAAATGTCAAGAAACCTTTGAAGAATATCTTGTTATATGCTCTAACCGAATGTTGATGTCGTAAAACAATTATTTTCCTATCGTTGTTTTCCGATGGAAAAAATATTGTTACAAAAACAGTGCGCAATTACCCAAGCTACATTTTTAGAATAAGCACCATATGATGTTTAAACTATTTTTTATCCGAATGGAGTCTACTTGCCATACTGTATTGGTAATGAATTTCCGAATACAACAGTTTTAAATATTTCTAAATTTTAAGTGAAGAAGAGTTTTTACAAAAATGGCAAAACAAAAAGTAACATTTAGCTATTTCATCTTCTTTCACTGCCACAAAGAACACGCTTCTTTTTTGCAAACTTCTGTGCGCGAATAAATAATTGACATTTTTAAAAGGCATAGGTACCTTTGCGAATTCTACACAATTGTCTGCATATCCAAATATTTAAAAGGAACTTTTTCCAATAAAGAAGGAAAGCGAAAAGAAAATAAACTAACTTTTCGTGACAAATGAAATATATATGAAGCGTTGTATATACAAACAGTCTGCCACATTAATGTGAATGTTTATTAAAACGGAATATTTAATCTTGGGGAACATGTTGGCGGGAGAGAGTGTTTAGTTTGCTTCATGTGGTTCATGACTTCCATACTTTTTAATAGTAATTAAAAAAAAAAATACCTACACTTTTGTGTAACGTCACATTTCTTGACGTTTGAAAACCACACAAATTTTGTAAAAATGTACATGGTAAACTGTATGCGAAGGAGGATTTAATAAAAGGATAAAAAATGCAATACTTTTCCTTTGTCTCGTCAGAACTTACGTTAATTTAGGATGTATGTATAAAAGTATGTATATTTATTTTCCTAAGATGATGTGATGATACGTGCTTCCGGATTTTTTTTGTCCTCTGCTCCTTTTGTTCTCGTTTCTGGTTCTTATCTTTTCTTCTTTATATAACTCCAAATCTGACGCGTTTTTAATTTTGTGTTTGATGTTTATATTTTATTTTTTTTTTTTTTGGTTTAAAAATATTTGTATATATATTTATGTTTGTTACAACGTAGATAAAATTGATAGAAAAAAGATTTGTGCGAATTTTCGAAGAAACGAAGATTTAATTTCTTCCCATTCCTCTCAGTCTGTAGTTAATTAACATTAAATTATAAATCGATGTATTTTTCGCGAAAACCATTCTAACACTTTTTCACTTCTGAAAATCACATATTGATTAGCTGTCGTCTAGCGACTTTTTTCACATCGACGTTGCAATGGATTTGTTTTATTCCATTTTTTTACCTTTCGTAAAATATTGGAGGGCACATTACATATTTTTTGTTGGATTTTGTTAGCGACTGCATTAGAGCGCACAAATCGCGTGTTGCCTATCGAGTTTGCTATTCAACTTTTGTTTCCATTGGGCTCTCATCATCACCGTCGTTGTCGTTCGACCTCTATTTCCGCATGACAATATCAACAACAATTCTAATAACAACAATGCCGGAAAATTAGTAAATAAATAATAATATTAGAAATAAAATAACGCCACCGGTCAACGACAGAGTAGTGAGTAGTGTTTGGACCAAATGTCAGTGTGAAACTGAATTCAATTGAATTAAACTCATAATCAAAGAGCGCACATACTGTTATACTCCCTGTGTCACAATTTAGAACAGTGATATTGTATATTTGTAATCAGTGGTGTCTCTCAGAGTCTCAGTACTTGAGACGACACGTATATATGTATACACACAAACCAATGTGTTAAGTTCCATATGTTCACCCCCATCCCCAACTATGCAGACATTCCCCTGTCAACGAACAACCACCATTGAAATTACTTACAATTAAGCTCCTTTTTAACTCAAATCGACATGGGGTTGCCATAGTTCAAAACATAGGAGCCATCAAGGATTTTTATACCCTACACCACATAGTGGTAAGGGTATTATGTCATTGTGCATTTGTTTGTAACATGAAGAAGGAAGAGAGATAGACCCATAGTTACTTTTGAGGATCTCCATAGAATCACTTTCTGAGTTGATTTATGCATGTCAGTCCGTCTGTCCGTCCGTCCGTCTGTCCATGTATTCTTGTGAACAAAATGTAGGTCGCATTTATTATCCGATTGAGATGAAATTTTGCATATATCATTTGTTTGGCCCAAGGACGAACCCTATTGAAATTGGAGATAATCGGTCAAAATTTAGATATAGCTCCCATATATATCTTCGTCCGATTTGCCTTTTATTGGGCACCAAACGTGTAATATCAGTCCGAATAGTATAGAATTTTGCACATACAACCAGATTAGGCCTAAAAATAAGTATGCCAAATTTGATCGAAATCGGTTCAGATATAGCTATAGCTCCCATATATATTGTTCATCCGATAAGTTATTTTTGTCCTCCGCAGCCGTAATATGCACTCTGTAACAACAATATTTGAGGGAATATATCAAATACAGCTCAGAAATACCTTTGCTAAATTTTATCGAGATCGGTTCAGATTTGGATATAGCTCCCATATATAACTTCGTCCGATTTACATTTTATTGTGCACCAAACGTCTAATATTTGCCCAAATGGGATGAAATTTGGTACTTACGACCGAATTGAGTCTAGAAGCTAGTATGTCAAATTTGATGAAGATCGGTTCAGATATAGCTATAGCTCCTATATATATTGTTCATCCGATTTGTTGTAGTTTTTACCCACAGCCGTAATATGCACTCCGTAACAACGATATTCAGGGAAATATATCAAATTAGGCCTGAAAATAAGTATGACACATATGATCGAAATCGGTTCAGATATAGCTATAGCTCCCATATATATGGTTATATATATCTTTATCCGATTTTAAATTAATTTAGCACCAAATGGGCAATACAAGTCCGAATTTCGGCATATTTAGTCCTTTGAACTTTAAATTATAATTATAATCATAGCGTGTATGATTGAATTTTCCCATAAAAACTTTTAATTGCTATGTGGAGCTCTACTAAATTAGCAAAGTGGTGTAGGGTATCAAAAAGTCGGCCTCGCCCGAATTTAGGACTTTCTTTACTGGTTATTTTTACACTCTGTCAAAGTATGCAGATTATATAAAAACCATATTTACACCGAACATATTATTCTTAAACACACTATTAGATTTTTAATTTCTTTGATTAATCGTCTAATTAATGACGAATAATCGTAAAACGCATTATTAAGGTCGGTGTCGGTGTGTAGAGCACGATATGGACCTGCATAGGTAACTTTTGTCATAAGCCATTACAATATTCAAATGCGAAACTTAAAAAAATCGGTAATAATGTGGATAAAATCATCAATATACCGAATATCGGGAGGTACCGTTATATGGGGGCTATACGAAGACGTGGACCTACATGGCCAAAAGTTCTGCAGACATAATATGCATTTGAGTAAAATTTTATCAATCTACTTCAATTCGTTCGGAAGCTAGAGTGATTTCACAGACGGACGGACATCGCTAAATCGACATAGAATTTTATGCTGGTCAAGAATATATATACTTTGTGGAGTCTAAAATGTATATTTCGATGTGTTACAAACGGAATGACAAACTCCATACTATGGTGGAGGGTATAAAAATTTTCGGGAGCATATTAACTATTTCTGGTACATGGTCTAAGAAATACAATCTTATTTTAAAATCTGTTTGTTGCAAAATTGGATGCTGTGCCCGAGAGTTACAGCGGTCTTTATTCTCCTTCAAAGAAAATATATTTTAAATTTCATTATTTGTAAGAAAGTAAGAAATAACAAATTTCATCGAATAACTAAAGCATAAAGCATAGCCTGAAAGTAAGATAGGCTACAAAATTTTGCGATTTTGGCATCAGAATCGGTGGTACCTCCCAAAAATTTAGATTTTATATGCACATATCTTTTTATATGCACATTACAAATACAGTATATATATATTCGACCGATTTCGTTTATTTGATGCATCAAACACGATAAGTATATCCGATTCCAATGAAATTTGGCATGAGTGGATAAATTTGGTACAAAAATAAGTTTGTCAAATTATATTCAAATCGTTTCAGATTTGGCCGATTTCACATATCTGATGCAACAAACACGATATGTTTGCCCGATTCCAATGAAATTTGTAATGAGTGACGGAATATCATACAAAAATAAATTTGTAAAATTATATTAAAATCGGTTCAGATTTGAATATACATGGATTTGAATATACATGGATTTGGATATATATGGATATATATATATATATATATATATATATATATATATATATATATATATATATATATATATATATATATATATATATATATATATATATATATATATATATATATATATATATATATATATATACCGATTTCATGTATTTTATGCACCAAACACGATATGTTTGTCCGATTCCAATGAAATTCAAAATGTGTGGTATTAAAATTCATTTTCCAAATTATTGACATTGAGGTTTGATTACACCTCCCATATATATTTCCCGCCAATTTCATATATTTCATGCACTAAATACGCTATCTATTCCAATTTCAATAAAATCACCTTCCATTGTGACGGAACTTGGTCTAAAAAATAAGTTTTGTTAAAAGATATGCAAATCGGTTCGGTGTTAGGCTAACAGTAAAAAACTACACGGCAATTTAATTCAGGATACGATAGTTACGGGTAGTATGTTGCTACCGTGAATTCTGTAATAGCAACAGAAATGCCACTCAACTTCAAAAGATTTGCAGTTTCCTGCTTGCTTGGCTTTTGCTATAACATTAATATATCCAAAGGACAAACTCTTTGTGTATGCAGACTAAATTTCGCATATTCCTGCTTTTCTCGTGGTCAGCTGTTCCTGGTATGTTCACGTGTTGTTAGATCGAGCGATTTGTTTGTTTACACATTAAGGTATTAAAATAAATATGTTTTTTAAATTCTTCAATTTGTTTTATTATTATTATTTTTTTTTTAAACCACAAAGTACTCGTATACAAAATTTAGAATGCATATAAAATCAAAACGGGTAGCGAAGCGCATCGGTTTCAGCTAGTTTCACCATAAATCTCAAAACAAAATATATATCTAATTTTAATAGTTTTTAAGAAAATTACATTGGAAATTTAAGGAATCTTTATCCGAAAATTCCAAAAATATGGTAGAGAGGAAACTTGCACCCTCCATTTTGGTTAATTTGAGATACAAACATTCAAAACACAGATACTCGTGTGTTTTATTTCTATCTCTATTTTCATAATCAGCTGGATTTTTAATTTAAATAATTCAATTTGGTTGTACATTGTAATTGTTTCTAAGAGGTAAAATGTATTCAAATGTGTTTTTAGCGATCTACATAGAATCACATTCTGCAACGGTTCAAGCAAGTCCGTCAGCCTGTTATCGTCCATCTTCAGTTGAGATAAAATTTTACACAGTTGAACCTGTTATTATTACATATTATCAGATTTTATGTTTATTGTGCATCAAGTACGTAATATCGTCCTGAACAAAATTTATTTTAGCTCACCGAATCGAATTAGTGTCAGGTTTGGTGACAATTCTTCCAGATATAACTGTAGCTCCTATGCACATTCCATCCGATTTCAAATTAAATATGTAATCCGCATCCAATAACAATTATATTTGGCATTATTTATTTTGCAAAAATGTCTAAGTAATTTGTTGCGCAGTGATGTAGGTTGTCATATAATTGACTTCGGCCGAATTTGGTCCTTTTCCCTATCGGTTATCATGGAAAAAGTACGTGTAAACACAGCATTTATATAATCCTAGACATTTATTTTAAGTATTGACACAAGTTAGAAGCCCAAGATAGCGAAACAACCCAATCGTTGACAATATTTATATGTAACAGAAAACATTAACTTTAATAACCAATTTTTAGTTTACATTGGCTGTGGCGCGTGTTGTTTTCGCTGTGTAATCGTTACATGCCATCTTTTCCCATAGAAAATAAATATACTGCAATTAATTATAGGTCCTTTGGGGGAGGATTTGCAACAATAGTGGCCAAAGCTATTTTCGATGTCTGTCTCAATTTTTTACTTAGTGTTCTCCGAGAAGTGTTTAACGATTATTTAATTTAAAATTGAAATTAGAAAACCAATTATGGAAACCAACAAAACGTTATTCCAAAAGCTTGATTTACAAACTCCCCTACGAATACCTCTGCGAATGTTTTACGTCATGGGTCTATCAATATTTGACGGACGTCAGCACTGTTGCACTACATTTGAAAAAGTTAAAAGAGCAAAGTTCTGTATTTTAAATATATTTATAATATTTTTTGTGATAATTGCAATTTCAATATATAACTACGATCCGCCGTATGGTGATAATTTTGGAAAATTTAATGATAAACTCAAATTGGGTGTTGTCATCGCTGCACATCTAGTGATACTATGTGAATCTGTGATAGCCGGTGGATATACGAATGGTTTTTTTCAAATTTATTCGAAAATCCATCTAAAATCGTCCACAGACCATCATTGGAAGTCTGAAATGAAGCTATATTGGAAATTATTTTCATATTTAGGAGGTTCAATTGCCTTTATTCTATCGGTGGAGATAACCTATTTAATGCAGGTTCTCGATAAGGATGATTGGTTGGTTTATTTTACTTCTTATACGCCATGTGTGTTTATATGTCGCTGCCGTCTATTACAATTTATATTGTCTTTGGAGCTTATTAGGGTGGAACTGGAACAACTGAATCGTGAACTTCTACAATCAGCCAAGGGCACCGGCAAGGTACAAATGAAATTTTATGAGAAATTTATTTGCAACGTTTTACCACAGTGGATGAAGCGATACGAAGACATTTTTGAAATGAGTCATTCGCTCTCGAAATCAATGCCCATCTCTCCGTTGGTAGTGTTCATAGCAGCCTATATCAAAATTCTGTCAGACTGCTATTGGGCGTATTGGGTGAATTATGCAAAATTTAAAATAAATGGTAAGATATGTTTAAATATTTCAAAGAATTTAATTGTAAATGTTGTGTTTGCGGCCCTAGTGGATTTAATAATCTCTGTCGTTTGAGAAAAGGATACAGCCCATATTTTTTTGGAATTTGTTATAAAAGTTTTCATAGTGTCTTTTATGATTAGTAATCGAAATGATCCAACGTTTTCGTCATTTTCTAACGAAACTTTAAAATTCGACGTTTAGAGGGGTTTCACCTCTTGTGAAATATGATTTTAGACACATTTTTCAACGAAACTCTTTGGTATTTGATGTTCGCAATAGATACCAACCACTTCTCGTTTTCCCATTGTCCTTATAAATTTGGTATTGGGAGAAGTGATTGGACTGGAATCCTCAAACTTAATATTGAGGTCTCTTTTGGTACCTTGAATTCAGATATAGAGGTGGTTTCGAAATGTGTACTATAATTGTACGAAAAGTACTAAATTTGGTTTTGGGTGATTAGGTATTGGGCGAAATTTTAAATTGTCTTTGTGGTCGTTGTTTCGAAACGTGTGGTGCGTTTGTTTCTGCTAAGGTTAGCGTGGTACATACGCCACTGGCAAAGAGAAGATCTGAAAAGGCAAAGTGTTGTTGCCTTAAAAGTGTAAAGGCGATAAAAAAACACGTAAAAAAGCAGTAAGTACGGCAGGGCCGAACTTAGAATACCCTCCACCATTTGGAACAAATTTGAAAATTTTCAAAAAAAAAAAAAAAAAATAAATAAATAAATAAATAAAACGTGCGCTATAAATTCCCTTAAAATCTTAAAAATACCGAATATAAATCTATACAAGGACGTGGACCTGCACAAGCAACCATTGCCATTACAACATTCAAATACGAAACTTGAAAAAAATCCGGTGAATGATGTAGCTACTAAAATCATCCATATCTATAAAACAGGAAAATGTTTGTATGTTTGTTTGTAATTGATAGACTGATATATTTTTGAAATTCCACTTGGAACTGTAGATATAGCATCAGAATCGGAGGTACCTCCCAAAAATTTAGATTTTATATGCACATATCTATTGATCGATTGCAGATACAGTCTCCAAATTTGGAATACGTAACGGAATTTGGAACAAAAATAAATTTGCCAAATTATATTGAAATCGGTTCAGATTTGGATATAGCTGCCAAATATATTTTCGACCGATTTCTTTTATTTGATACGCCAAACACGATATGTCTGTTCGATTCCAATGAAATTTGGAATGTGTGACGGGATTTGATCTGAAAATAAATTTGTAAAATTATATTGAAATCGGTTCAGATTTGGATGTATCCCCCATATACATTTTCGGCCGATTTTACATATTTGATGCACCAAACGCGATATGTATGCCCGATTCCAATGAAATTCGACTTGAGTGATTAAATTTGGTCCAAAATTAAATTTGCAAAATTATATTGAAATCGGTAAAGATTTGGATATAGTTCCCATATATATTTTCGGCCGATCTCACATATTTGATGCAACAAACACGATGTTTATGTTCGATTCCAATGAAATTTGGAATGCGTAATGGGATTTGATCCGAAAATAAATTTTTCAAATTATATTGAAATCGGTTCCGATTTGGATATAGCTCCCATATATATTTTCGGCCGATCTCAACTATTTGATGCACCAACACCATACATATGTCCGATTCCAATGAAATTCGGACAGAGAGACGAAATTTGATACAAACAAAAATTGCCAAATTATATTGAAATCGGTTGAGGTTTCATGATTTCATGTATGTTATGCACCAAACACGATATGTATGTCCGATTCCAATGAAATTCAGTATGTGTGGCGGAATTTGGTTACAATAATAAATTTGACAAATTAATTTGAAATCTGTTAAGATTTAGATATAGCTTGATGCACTAAACACTAAATCCATATTTCAATGAAATATGGATGGTTTGACGGAATTTGGTGTAAAAGTAATTTTTTTCAAATTGTATTGAAATCGGTGCAGTAGGGATATTATTTTATTAAGAAGCATTGACCCACAAAGCCTTTGCAATGGTATAAGGCTAACAGTAAAAAAGGACACAACAATCTTATTGAGGAACGGATTATTACGGGGATGTATGTTGCTTCCTCGAATTCTCTAATTGCAACAGAAATGCCACTCAACTTCAAAAGATTGCAGTTTCCAGCGCGCTTGACATATTTGCTATAATATTAAACAATCCCAAGGACAACCCCTTCGTGTATGCGGACTAAATTTGGCATGTTCCTTTCTTTTTTTATCATGGTCAGCTGTTCCTAGCATATTCACGCGTTGGTAGACCGAGGTATTTGTTTTTGTACGCATAAATATACTACAATAATTAGGTTTTTTATATATTTTTGAATTTGTTTTTTTTTTTAACCAACAAATATTCGTATATAAAATTTACAATGCATAAAAAATCAAAAGGGGTAGCGAAGCGCACCGGGTTTAGCTAGTACCGAATATAGGGCGGTACTGATATATGGGGCCTATACGAAGAACCTGCATAGAAAATTTTCTGTCATAGACTGTAGTTGCCATTACGAACTCTAAATACGAAATTTGAAACAACTCCGGTAAAAAATGTCGCTAAAATCGTCAAAATAACGGATATTGGGATGTACCGTTATATTGAGGCCTGCGTACGCAATTTTATATCATAGGCTATAGTACCCATTACGAATTCTATGTACGAAATTTGAACCAACTCCGGTGAAAAATGTTCCTAAAATCTCAAAATATTGTATATCGGGGGTACCGTTGTATGTGGGCTATACTATATCGTGGAGTTATATAGACAATGCTCTCCCAGGGGGTAAAGTACTCAAAAGGAACTCCTAATGTTTATTTTCAGACTATTTCATTGAAAAATGTGGCTAAAATCATGAAAATACCGAATATAAGGGGGGGATTACCGTTGTATGGAGGCTATACGATATCGTGGTATATAGGTCCACGATATCCAATTCTCTTCCAGAGAGTAAAATACATAGAAGTAACTTCTTGTATAGGTTTTCAGATAATTCCATTGGGAAATGTGGCTAAAATCATCAAAATACAGAATATGGGGGCTATACGATATTGTGTATTGGGGCTATACGATATCGTGGACCTGTATAAACAATTCTCTTTCAGAGGATAAAGTACTCAGAAAAAACTCCTTCTGTGGATTTTCAGACAATTGCATTGAAGACCGTGGCTAAATTCATTAAAATACCGAATATCAGGGGATTATATGGGGCTATACGATATCGTGGACCGATGTAGCCCATCTTCGAACTTTACCTCCCTGTACACAAAAGACTGATCTGTGCAAAATTTTGGATTTCTATCTTTATTCGTTTTGAATCTAGGACGGAGGGAAAGGGCTAAATCGTCTTAGAATTTTACGCTGATCAAGAATATATATACTTTGTTATGTCTAAAAGGTTTATTTTGATGAGTTACAAACGGAATGACGAACTTAATATACCCTCCATACTATGTATGGTGGATGGTATAAAAAAATGAGCAACAAGTAGAAGTTTTGTGTTGGTAAAGCCATCTCCGCGTTGCTATTGATAACTCATGACATGAAATAACGCGTGGCACGTTTGTTCAGCTATGACCTTAAGGCTGACCTTAAAACTGTATATTTTAAAAGCTATGACAAAATTATTGCTCTATCCTTAATTTCATATCAAGCGTTATTTGTTGTTAATCGATGATGGAGGCAGAATGAACGCATTATTTCATGTCACGATTCCGCGATAGGACATCAGACGAGGTTGTTGTTTAGATACGCCGTGCAGCAAGAAATGACGCATTCCACATTGCCCTTTGTTGCACATTGTTTAATAAAGTTTGATGTATTTCTATTTTATATTTTTATAATATTTCACTCGTGACACTTCGACCTCATTTTTAATTTAGGACATGATTAATGCGTTCTTTTTAATGCATTACTCACTCATGAGTTCCATAGTTTAGTTTTCTCATAGGCATTTCGAAGTACACACAATAACTCGCTGATATTTAATTATGAACTTTAAAAATGACCTTCGAATAAACCAAAATCCATTATGGATTCTTTTGCGAATCTTCCATTATATGGGACTGTCAACTTGTGTTTCACATCAAATACCGCCCAACTGACAAAAATTGAAACTTGTCAAACTGTATCTGGTGCACTTGCTAATTATTAGTGTTATAATGATAACGATTTTCCGATATAAATTCGAACCACAGTATCATAATAACTTTGGCAAATTTTTCGATATTCTAAAGTTTGTGGTTATCTTTCTGGTCCATTTGATGACAGTTTTTGAGGCCATAGTAACTGGGGAAAACGTTTACAATTTTTTTCGTCTATACAATAAACTCTATACGAAGTGGTCTAAGCAATCTGTCCTTTGGAAAACAGGATTAAGAACGTATTGGAAATTATTTTTCTATTTCGGTTTTTCTGTCGTGTTGACCGTTTCCATTGAGGTGAATTATATAATACAGATTCGCAAAAAAACCGAATGGTTGGTATTTTTCTGTTCATATACGCCAAGTATTTTTATTTGTCGTTGTCGTATTCTTCAACTTGTCATGTACATGGAGCTTATTCGGGTGGAATTGTCGCAACTGAATCTGAAGATATTACAATCTGCCAAAGGCACAAAAAAAGTTCAAATGGTATTCTTCGAGGAGTTCATCCGTAGTGATTTGACACAGTGGGCGAAACAATACGATGATATCCACGAACTGACTCATTTAGTGGCAAAATCAATGCCACTTTCTATTTTAGCAATATTTGTTGCAACCTACATCAAGATACTATCCGATTGTTATTGGTCATATTGGATGATATATGCTAAATTCGAAATACATGGTAAGATAAAGCTATCTAAAATTTTTGAATATATTTTGATTCTACTTTTCCGTATTTACAAAATTATCATTTCTACTTTCAAACGGCAACTATTGATGAGAGTAAAAATATAAATATATCAAATAACAGATGTTT